GGCCCCTGACACAGCCTCGATCCTCAGCCTCCCATCTGCAGGGGGATGCACCATACCTAGCTGACGCAGGGTAGAGCTGGTCGGTCATGGCCTCGGTGGGTTTCATTTATTCACTCGTTGAGGGTGGTTCTGACTCTGAACGGGCCCTAGGGTCTGGAGACAGACGTGCTCCTTTGCTCGGAGTCCCAGCAGAGCAAGCAAGGTCCATTTCTGACATCTCCCATCATCCCAGACATGAGAGTACCCCTCCTCAGGCTTCTCTTTCCCTCCGGAAACCTCTCTCCTTTGTGCAGTCCTAGGGCAAGGATTAAATGAGATTAGGGTGCCCGGCACCACGTCAGCAAATGATACTCCCTACTCTTTTTACTCTTTGCAAGTAAGTAAATGATCCATTTGTTTAAATTGTTTCTACTTTTTATTTTTTAGTTTTGTTTAAAAGATTTTATTTGAGAGAGAGAGAGAGAGAGCACAAGTGGGGGAGAAGCAGAGGGAGAGGGAGAAGCAGACTCCCCGCTGAGCACGGAGCCTGACTCTGGGCTCCATCCCACAACCCCGAGATCATGACCTGAGCTGAAATCAAGAGTCGGAGCCACCCAGGTGCCCCTGTTATTACTTTTTAATGTAAAAAGAACTCAAGATTGTAAAATGTGTATAATTCTCAATATAAAAAAGCAGGTATAAGGTTTGAAACAAAGGAATCAAGGGTCATCAGAGAACCTTGGCTCTGTCCCAGTGAGTGAAATCTATGCCTTGTCCACGGGGACTGGCTGGTGGCAGTTCCTGAGAGTCCCGTCCCCTCTGGGCATGTTGGTGACAGCCGTCACTCTCAGCTGGATGGGGGAGGCGAGGGCTCAACCTACTTTCTCAAAGTGAAGCCTGAACTAGCTCCTGCAGTGTTTTCCCGTCATTAAGAAAACTTTTACCTAATTAATGGAAGCTGACCCCCTTTCAGGTTTTCCAAATCCAGGCATCAGACAGGCTGTGAGCAGTAGGAGGGAGTGAGCTGGGGACAAGGACCACTCCTTCTGGGTGAGCGGCCTCCCCTGGCCACCGCCCGTGGCAAGCTCCCGCCTGCCTGTGGGCCAAGGTCTGCTGGACCCAGGCCGAGGGAGGCCGGCCAGGGCAGCCCGGCTCCCAGTCACAGCGCAAAACAGACACTACCTAAAAGTGGGCATGTTGTCTCCAGAGCCAAACAGGGATATTTATATGCAGGGAGTTGCACACTCAACACTGGGTCTTTGTGGAGTTCTAGTTGTGGGGCCATTTGCATGTCGGAGTTGCTGTGAACTCATCTATCAACCCACATTCTAGAGCGTTTATAAAAAGGCCTGCTAAAAATGACAAGACCGGTATTGGTGTCTTAGTCAGCTCGGGCTGCCTTCACAAAATACCACAGAGCGGGTGGCTTCAACAACTGAGATTTATTCTCCCACAGCTCCGGAGGCTGGAAGTGTGAGATCGGGGAGCAGTATGGCAGGGCTCTGGGGAGGGCCCACTTCCTGGCCCACAGACAGCAGCCACCTTCTACGCATGTCCTCACATGGCCTCCCCTGGGGCGTGTGCAGGAGAGTGAGTGGGGGGGGGGGAGGAGACAGGGAGAGGTCACTAGAAGGTCAGTAATCCCATCATAAGGACCCCAGCCTCTTGATCTCATCTGCCCTTACTCACCTCCCCGAGGCCCCATCTCCAGATACCATTACACTGGGGGTTTGAGCTTTAACATTCGAATGGCGGGGGTGGGGTGGGGTGGGACGTGAATATTCAGTTCATAACAACTGGCGAAGGAATGAAAAGGGTACTTGTATTGCTGGTTGGGAATATCTCAATCCCAACCCAATTTCTCAAAATGGCTCTGGGGAACCAGTCCTTTTACCAGAAAGTGGCCATCCTTCCCTCCAGTTCTGGAGTGCCTTTCTGGGAGGTTCGCTCCATCCTCAGTCCTGGAAGGGGAAGGACCTAGAGTGCCCTTGGCCCCAGCCCCCTAGCCACAGCTGGCTGGAAGGGAGTGGACCTTTGACCCAGGAGGAATCCAAGCTGGAGGCTGCGCTGAGCCAGTCGGATTCACTCTCCCAGAGATGACTTGAGATGGGGATCGGGCCAGTCAGCAGGGGGATCTGGACCGGATGGCTATGGGGGTGGGAGAGGCATTTTTTTTTTTTTAAAGATTTGATTTATTTATTTGAGAGAGGGAGCACGAGCAGAGGGAACGGCAGGGGGAGAGGGAGAAGCAGGCTCCCCATTGAGCAGGGAGCCCGATGAGAGGCTCCATCCCAGGACCCTGGGATCATGACCTGCGCCGAAGGCAGACGCTTAACTGAGAAACCCAGGCGCCCAGGTGGAAGAGGCATTTTTAATTGGCCAGGACAATCCATGTGTAGGTGTAGCCGTGCAGCCAGCGTGGAGAGACAGACAGAGAGATAGACAGCACACAGGCAGAAGAAGAAAGCCCAGGGAGGGAGAGAGGAAGAGAGAGAGAGAGAGAGATGTAGCTTTCCCGTCTCCCATTTCTGGTTCTCTGTCCTCTGCAGGCTGCTTGTATTTTTCCAATAATATTTCTTAAAACCTTTTTCTTATCCTAGCTTGAAGGGATTCCTGGGCATCACTTCCCAGTGGTCCAACACTGGCTTCCCTTATTTGTGGTGTCTCTAGGCTGTCAACTCTCTGGGTTAGGACATGAAGTTGACCTTGTCAGTTGTGGCCTTGTGTTCTGGGTGGCTACTGTCCACCCACATGTTGAACACAGGTGCGTCTGCTCTGGGCTGGGCCCCAGGGTCCCCAGAGAGCAGGCAGGAGGGAATTCCCTGATGTGGCTCATCATCCCAAAGATGACTCCTCTGGCTTCTCTTGTCCTTCTAGAAACTTCTCTTGTCTGTGCAGCGCTAGAAGCATTCCAGTGCCTCTGCATGCCTCCTGGTGAGATCCTGTGATCTCTCCAGAGGCCTGCAGGTGGGAGGGAGGTGACTCAGGCCCTGAGGAGGGTTCACCAAGGACATTAGGTAAACTGAGGTTTATTGAGGCATGTGCTGTCAAGCTCAAGACCCGTAGCGTGTGCCACGGTAGAGAGGGCACTAGAGCATCCAAGGAGAACAGAATGCTGGAGGGATATATGGAAGGTGATAGAGCGGTGCGCTAACGGGCAGGAAGGCTAGGATTTCTGTGTTGGTTTCAATGAGTGAGTTATTCGAGAGGGGATATTTTTTATTTTTTTAAAGCTTTTATTTATTTGAGAGAGAGTGTGCATGTGAGCAGGGGGAGGGGCAGAAGGAGAGGGAGAGAGAATCTCAAGTAGACTCCACACTGAGCACAGAGCTGGACATGGGGCTCGACCCCACGACCCTGAGATCATGACCTGAGCCGAAATCAAGAGTCAGACACTTAACTGACTGAGCCAACCAGGTGCCCCAAGAGGGAGATTATTATTTTTTTTATTTTTTTTACAAAAACAGCAATAGTGGCAGAGAAGTTTAGGGATGTTGGTTTCTTTCAACTATCTCCCACCTAAAATATCCAGAGAATTGGGATGAATCTGGATGGTCCCCCGTTCTCCTTCCAGCTGCCTGGGATTTAAACCAGTGGCTGCAAACCAATTTTTAGAAGCACTTCAAACATCAAAAAATTAATAGTTACATAGTTTATGTACTTTAGAAAAATTCCAATTCGCACATCAAACCTGCGATTTCATAGGTATTAATGCTTGGGGTGAAAATAAGTAGAGGATTTAATTTAAAGCCAATCTGTAGAAACTGTTAATAGCACCAGTGGTACATGGAAATGTCAAAAATTGTAAACGTGCAAAGTCAATGATCGACAAATCCGGAAACGCTGAGTTGGAATCACCTGGATGAACCAGATAGCACAGAGTTCATTCCTCTTCCGAACTCAGGCTTTTTTCCGTCCCTATATGCCCAGGGTTCCCAGACGGTGGCTCACTTTGAGAAGCAACAATATCTGGGGGCTTTGAAGAAGTGCAGAATCCTGGGCTCTCCCCCAGAGCCACTCAGCCAGCAGCCCTGGGCAGGCAGGGGTGGGGACGGCGTCATGTTGTGACCAGCCCTCCAGGGGTTCTGACAAATCCTGCTTCAGCTCAGCCTTCTGAGCCTGAACCTCGGCGAGGCGGAAAGTCTGCTGAAACCTTGTGCAGGAGTGTGGGTTTGCACGTTTCCGGGGGGTAGGGGGCGGGGTGGGGGCAGGGCCATCCACGGCTGGCATCAGGCCCTAAGAGGGTGAAGACCACTGCTGTCTGAGGTTCCTGCCACCATGTTTCTCTGCCATTTATTGCCGTGTTCATGAATCCGTGTGCTTTAACTATAAATAACCCAAACCTTGCTGGGCCATCAGCAGGGCACATCCAGTATGTACAAAACGGCTGGTGGGTGTCTGGGACCTCCCCACACCAACAAGACCCTCGAGGACCCAGCTGCGGGCTGCCCAGCCCCCAGATCACAACAGCTGTCTCCCCAGAGCCTGGATCTGTTAGTGTTTCTGACTCTTCCTGAGTCTGTGCTCTCTACCCAACTTGGTTTCTCCTTTCATTCCTCCTGACAGGGCTCCAGCCATGGCTTCCAGCTTAGACTGATGCTTGGGTCCATGCTGGTGTCCCACCTGTGCCACCCCCCTGCTCCTTAGCTCTCTGTCCTCCAGGGCTCGTCCCTGGAGGGCGGGGCCCACTCTGTCCACAGTGAAGTCCAGAGACTTCTGTTCATCCATTGACCCCTTCCTCTGCCCAGCAAATACTGAGAACCCACATGCCTTCGGCCATGGGGGGATGGACGAGCGGGTCCGATGATCACAGCACCGGACTACATGACAAGTTGAGAAGTCCTCCGGCTGCAGCTGGCCAGCCACCACACTCCAAGCCCCACCTGGTGGGGTTCTCTGATCCTGCAGAACCTGGCGCTCATCACAGACGCTCAAATCACACGGTCAGGCCAGGGTCCCCAGTGTAATCACCAGGGTCCTCATAAGAAGGAGGCAGGAGGGTTCACGCTCTGTGCTCCAGCCGAGGGGGCAATGGCGGCTTCATGTGTCCTCCTGCACACTGGGCAGAAGATGCCCCTGATTGGCCTGGCACCTGGAAGAGCGATCCTGGCCAGGTGGAATGTCACCCATACTTGGCTCAGAAGGAGCTGATTGCCCACTGCCAAGCTCGCGGCCTGGAGGTGACCGGTTATAGCCCTCTGGGCTCCTCTGATCGAGCTTGGCGTGATCCTGATGAACTGGTCCTACCTGAGGAGCCAGTGGTCCTGGCCCTGGCTGAAAAGTATGGCCGGTCTCCGGCTCAGATCCTGCTCAGGTGGCAGGTCCAGTGGAAAGTGATCTGCATCCCCAAGAGTATCACCCCTTCACGTATCCTCCAGAATATCCAGGTGTTTGGCTTTACCTTTAGCCCAGATGAGATGAAGCAACTAGATGCTCTGAATAAAAATTGGCGATACATTGTGCCCATGCTCACAGTGGATGGGAAGAGGGTCCCGAGAGATGCAGGGCACCCTCTGTACCCCTATAATGACCCATATTGAGACCACCGCTTCCTGGTTCCTTCCCAGCTCTCTAGCTACAAGGTCCTGCCACCCGCAGAAAGGAGTTAATAAAGCCATTGGAGCATCCACACTAAAAAAAAAAAAAAAAAAAAAAAAAAAAGGAGGCAGGAGGGTCAGGGAGATTTGCAGGTGCTACCATTGCTGGCTTTGAAGATGGAAGAGGAAGCCACAAGGCAAGGAAAGTGGGTGGCCTCTGGAAGTTGGAAAAGACAAAGAAATGTTTTCCCCCAGAGACTCCAGAAGAAAAGTGGTCCAGCTAACACCTTGGTTTTAGCACAGGGAGACCCATTTTGGACTCTTGTCTTCCAGAACTGGAAGATGGTGCATCTGTGCCGTTTGAAGTCACTAAGTACGTGCTCACCTGTTGCGGCAGCAACGAGAAGCTAATACGCTCTCCTTACAGATGGAGCCCTACGTCTAGGAGGTTCATCCATCGTTGATTTCCTCAAATTCTTTCCATGCCAACAGTGATCAGACTCATTTTTAAAGATTGGAGCCCTGTGGTTGTGCCAGGAAAAAAAATGCCTTCTCTTACCGAGAAATATTCACTGGAGGGAAATCATCATCGGGTCCAATGTGCAGACACCTTGGGCGGGTGTGCAGTCTCCCCAGCTGACCCGAATGGCACATGCAGGGAAGGGAGACCCGAATGGCACATGCAGGGAAGGGAGTTTCCCAAAGCTGGCCAGGCTCAGAGCGCTTGGAGCAGGTTGGATGAACTGGCCGGCGGAAGCCAGTTCTCTTTACACTTGAGGGTTCTATGTACACTTTCATGCTTAGTGCTCAATTTTCAATGTGAGCTGATAAATTCTCTACTCCTTAAGGTCAGTGTTTATCCTGGGAAAGAGGATCTATTTTTTATCCTCTAGGCCGACTGGGATAACAACAGTGAAAGCCAAGCCCTTTATGTTCATCATCTCATGGAACACCCAGGACAATCCTAATGATCGTTACCGTCCTTGTGCCATTTCCCCCATTTGTACAATGGAGGATGTAGAGGCTCAGAGAGGTTCACTGACTCAGCTCAGGTCACACAGCCAGCATGCGGTAGAGGCAGCCTGGCCCTGGCAGAGAGCATGATTTCTAAACTAGGGGTGAAGACCACCTTGAATTTAGGACATTCTGACTTAAAGCAAACAGCCTTAGAAGATTATAGACAATTCGGAGAGAGAGAAAAAGTAGACAGTGACTGAGCCTGGGGCCCAAGGTTAGATGTGGTCACATCTACCCATGCTCCTTTATTTTGACAATTTCTGTGATATTTCTCCAATGAATACACAAATCAGCCGTAATAATATTTTCCCAAACATAGCCTAGGTGGGTCTGTTTATCTTAGATTGAACATCATGATGGCTTCATCGTGACCCCGAGCTAGAATCTCTCCATGTCTCACCCTTGACTTGGAACCCAAGTTCACCAACTGCGAATGACTTTGATCTTGACTCTGAACGGGTTCCAAAGAGGCCAGAACCCCGTGGAAAGCATGTTCCAGAGACCGGCTCTGATATCTCAGGCACCAGGAAAAATTGTCCCTGTGCCAAATGCTTTTTTACTCCGGAAACAGAAAACCTTACAATCGTTTTAAAGTTCAAAGCTAACTTCCTAAAGAGAAACTTAGAGAAAAGAAGGCTTTCCTCCAGCATTCAAGAATCTACCAAGGAATGTTTTTATCACTCAGATGAGAGAAAAAAATATATCTTTATAGATATACTCACTTTCATGAGTGGATTTTAGCTCCTTGTGTCAGGGTTTTATAAAGTTAAAATACTTGGAAGTTTTTTTGTCCCATTAGTGGGATTTAATGGGAATCTGTTTGGGCTCAGGGACGCCCAAACAGTGAATCAGCTGTGAGGGAGAAATTGCGTTCTCCTAACCTACCTATTTGGACAGCAGTATGGGGGATGGAGGGAGCTGAGGGGCCTTGGGAAAGGGGCGGGGTGGGTGGGAGGTTGTCCATCTCATCACATCTTACCACTGCCCCGGGCGGGCGGGCTGCGAACACAGACTGGCTGGACAAGGTGAGAAGAAGTCAGCGTGCCAGGAGCTCAGTGCCGTGATGGAATGACCTCCCTGACACAGGGAGGTCATATAAACTTGACTCAGGATTGAGCAAGGCTTCCCGAGTCAACCCCAGGGAGCCACCTCCAGACAGGACCTGGGGGTCAAGGTCCTCAGACCAGCTTGCCTTCCTCCCTTCTCCCAGCTGATCCCTACCCCAGAGGCTCCCAAGCGTTTCTGAGCCTTTGAAGGCATCATCCAAGCTGCTTGTTCCCTGGAGAGCCTGTTCTCTCTGGAGGAAACATACTCATTAAATAATAATGAATCAGCGCCCCATTTTTAAACTCATCAAAGATCTGGATAATAAATGGGCAGAGCTTCTAGCCATGGGAGACGCTGGTGCTGGTGCATGAGCCTCCAGTCAAAAGTGAAGGTGACTGAGGCAAAGCCAGCTAGTGCTGGAGTACAGGAGTGCAGGGTGAGTTCCCCGTGAGGTGGGTTGGCCATACAGACCCCCACTGGGATCTCCAGGAGGCTTTGGGGTCCAGGCATCTTGGGTTGCAGGCCACCTCCCTCCCCCTTCCTTTCTGCTCCAGCAAACCCATCCCATCAGCAGGCTTTATACGGGCCTCATGCTTCCCCTCATGGTCCATGTCTCTGCCTCTTCCGTCCCCATGCCCTGCAGGGTTCCCACTCCACCTGCGAATACGCTCTCTGTGAAAGTGTGCTCTTTGAAGGACTTGGATCATTCAAATAGGGTAAGCATGAAAATATTACCTTATTTTCAAGTTAGAGAGCCTTACTTTATAATACATAAAACCATACCCATTAGTTCTTCTCCTCTTGTAAACAATTAAGAAGTGATGTAAGATTGTTTAATGATGCTCAGCTCAGAGGCTACTTCCTCCATGCAGGCTTCCCTGATACCCCTTTGATAATCGCCCGAACCTTCATTCTAACACGTGATTTTCCCCCCATCCCGAACACAAGGCCAGTGGAGGTAGAAAGATTGAGAGGTGGCCTGACTCAGGTTCCCAGACACCCAGGTTCTTAATTAGCCACCTGAGCTCTTCTCCCAAAGAAACCCACTAAGGAACGTTCCAGGCAGACGCCCCCTCTGTAGTGCTCCGTCTTTTGCCCTGACCCAGTGGGGTCTCCCAGGGACACTCAAGGACTGCTACCAACCAGGGAGAGGAGTGCAGGCTGTCATCTTCTGTGGGCATTTCCTCTATGTCCAGAAGACCACAGCTCCAAAAGTGGGGGAAGGTGAACCCAAGGTGATGAGAACAGTAATTCCTCCTGAGGCCCAGGCTGCTCTGCCCCAGCAGCTCCCTGAGACACCAGGGGGAGCTCTGGAAAGCAACGGCCGCAAGGCTCAGAGATATAACCCCATGGCTCAGCCCCGCTGAAACGCCTCTAGGTCCCACAGTCCGTAACCATCCTTGGAGGGAGGAGGGGATTCTGTGCCCCCCTCATGGAGGGAGGGCCCCTAACCCGGCCTTGGGGTTCTGGTTCTCCTCTGCCACCCTGGTCCCATCTGTGCCCCCAGCCCTTCTGCCAAGCCTCACTTGCCCAAGCTGCTCACAATTATTTGATGAAGGAATACAGGCAGGAATTGTGCCATTCTGTGGTGGTGCTGGGAGTATCCTTACTTGGGGAGGCAACGCGCTCGTGGAGCTGGAGAAAGGGCCCTGAGTAGGCGATGTTTGGTGTCAGGCTGGCAGGCTCGCGTGGGCTCTTAGAACTCGCCTCCGCTGAGCCTCTGGGCTGGTCTGTGCACCGGTGGAAGCCCCCTGGGCTGCCCCGCTGAGGCCAGAGGGGCCTCCCACAGGCAAGGGGGAGTTCTTTAAGCGATTGTCTTCCTCCATCTCTGGCCACGGGGAGAAAGGTGTGGCCCCTGACTCCCACCACCTTGCTGTCACCCTGCCTTCCCCGTGGGGGTCCTCTGTAAGGGAGGGGTTTGCCAGACACAACACTTTGGACTCCAGGAAGGGGTGGGGTTGAGAGTGGGGTTGGGGAGATGGTCTGTTGTCTGATTTCCCAGAAAGCTTAAGACACCCCCGGAGACGCTGGTTCCTACCGCTTCCACGCTGCGCAATGCCAAGGGCACCAGAGAACGGGCAGCACTGAACACGGAAGAGAAAGTCAGAGTGGCACACGGAGAGGGGAGGGGAGGACAGAGGTGTGACAGGGACCCGGGCCATTCCCATCAACGGTCTTACTGCCTAAACCTGAGTATTGTTCCAAAAGACGAAACCGGGTGGGTCATCGGCAGAACACGGCAGAACGGTCACAAATCCCGGAGCCCCAAGTCTGCTTCTGCTTTGCCAGTGACTATGCGAACATCCCAGATTTTAAATCAAGATAGAAAAGAAGAGCCCACCCACCACCTCCAAGAGCAGCGCGTCCCCCGACATGTGAGTCACACCATGCTTTGGCTTGATGCCAGGCAGGTGTATGCGTCTGGAAGGTTCAGAGGGGTTGGGCCTTTTGTCCTTTTGAGATGGGACCCTGAGGCGCAGGGGCAGTAGGAGGGGGCGGCAATGCGGGCGACTGTCACTCCAGGGCGGAGACGTCCGGTCCCCCGGTGTGCTTCCTGACCCTGAGGTTTGAGCCGTGGCACATAGTAATCACAGTTTGTCTGGCACTTTACAGTTTACATATATACGGTTTTTATTATGGCTGGAGCCATGGGCACACAGGCCTCCGCGCTCAGAAGGGCCCTTCACTTGGTTTAACGCTCTGCTGTTGCCATTCTTAATACTTTTAAAATTCTTCATTCTTGAAATTCTTAACCAATTTCGAACAGAGGGCCTCACGTGTTCAGTTTGCATGGGACCCTGCCAATGATGTAGCCAGTCCTGTGTGTTATCTCACTGGTTCCCATAGCCTTGACAGGAGAGGGGCCTGGAAGGGATCATTACCCCACTTCACAGATGGGCAAACTGAGTCCTGGCAGGGAACGGTGAAGCCAAGACCAGACTCAGGTCTCCACAGTGAAATTCTCTCTTGGGGCTCTTTCTCAATGAGTGGATGCGTGGTGGTCTCCTTTTCCATCACACACCTGCCTGGGGTCTTTCCAATCCGGCCACAACCCCCATT